CAGCCCAGGCGGCTGCACAAGGGCATGGGGAGGGGAAGGCGCTCGGGCTGAGTGCTTCCTGGCCTCCTGTGAAATCAACCACATTAGCACAGGCATTGACCACTGTCAATCTGCACTGCATCTCAAATGAGAACATAATGCGCTCCTGAATCAATCGCTGGCAGTGCTTCAGCCTTATTATTCTTATTACCGGAACGTGAGTGCTGCGTGTCCGCCAGGCAGCTTCCTGATCAGCCCATTAAACCCACTACATGCAGCTCCCTGGGTGCTATCTGGACCCTGGGTCCAGCACCTCCTGGGCTCACCAGCCCCAGGGACCCAAGCAGCTCTCCCGCTGCCTAAGCTGCCTTGCCAGGGCTGCAGGCATGGGAGATACAACGTCCTTGGTGGCTTTAAGGGAAATGCAAGTGAACGCAGTGTTTGGGCAAATGTTTCTCTCCACACAAAACTGTGGGGAAGGGACTGCAGCCTTCCCACCACACTGGGAAGCAGAAGCATAGTCAAATCTCATGCACAACCTAAAGATTATCAAGGACTAACGTGTGGCACGTGCCTGGCTCTCATCACCTCCAACCTGCTCTGCTCCCAGGGCCCATCTACTGGAGGGACGTGCCGAAGGGACTGGGCACAAGGGGCAATGGCCACAAGCTGCAGTTTGGATGTAAGGAAAGAATTTTCCTCTAGGAAGGTGGTGCAGGATCTAGCCCAGCACTGGCAGCAGCCATAAGGGAGCAGGAACCAGCCCTGGTTGGAGCCAGTCAATCCTGTGTTTGCTAATAGCAACAAAGGGGACAGCAGTGCTTGTCTTGCTGGACTCCACAGTGAGCGCGAGCTGCGCTGCGTGTCTGTGCACTTGTTTGTACCGGTGTGGGTAACCCCCATCTGAGGGCAGGATCCTGCCCCACGTCCACAGGCTGCAGCATGGGAAGGTGGCCCACAGGAGGAGCTCCAACACAGCTGCAGCGCCTGCAGATAAATAATTAAGGGCTCAGCCTCCCTTCTACTTATTTAATTCCATTAATCCCCCACTGTAAATTCACTGTAGCTCTCACTGTACACTAAAAATGAAATACTCTGCTGGTGCAGCCGGGCCAGGAGCTGCTGCCAGACCCTTGCACTCTGCTCCCCCAAGCTCTGCTGCATGCCCGGGAAAGCGTGGTGGGGCTGTGCTATGCCCCACGCCAGAGCAGCCAGCTCAGCTCCCAGCACCTGCAGTTCAAGCTCTCCTGTCAAACCAGGGGCACCAGCAGGTCCAGCTGGGATTGCTCCCTGCCCGTCAGGGCTGAGGGCTAACCCGCAGCTCGGGAGCCTGCTATTGCTGCAGCCAGTGCATGGGCTACTTGGCCATGCAGGCTGGCAAACTGGTGTGAGCAATATTAATTTGTACTCTTGACCTGCGGGAATGAAGGCCAGATGGCTCTGAGAAATCTCTGCTACCCTGCCCGCTCCCTTCCCAGGCGTGCAGAGAGGTGCTGACAGGTCTTGTTTTGTGTCACCTGTGTCTAGGTTACCCTGCTATCGCTTGCATAATGGAGGCAAGCACCAGACTGATGGCTCTGGGCAGCTGGCCTCAGTGGTTGAAAGTGCTGTTAAATATTTGCTCTCTGCCTGGGGTGCCACCACTGCTGGAACCTGAGCCATCTACAAATGGCCCTGCACCCCACAGAGATGTTAGGCTGCTAGGCTGCTCTGCAAACACTAAAAATGCAACAATTCCAAAGCACAAGCAAACAGCAACTGGACCTTGGGGGCTCATCTGTGATGCCTTTGTCCCTCGGCTCTCCCTGCTAAGCTGTGCTATGCCCAGTCTGGCAGCACTATCATGCCATGGGGCAACAGGGTTGGGGCCTCCATCTTTGGAAGTGTTGGCTCACCACTCAGCTCTGCGTAGGTCTGGGGCTCACACAGACCCCAGGTGAGTTGCTGGGACTGTATCGTCACTTAATGACTGCAATTGCACGAAATTTGGCGAGCTCCGGTCCCCAGCCTCTCCCTGTGCCAGGAAGCACAGGCTCCCGCAGGGGCGGCACAGCCTGCTCCCCTCCCACCTCTGCTATTTCCACATCCACTCTGCAGATTCCCTTACTCAGCAGCGCATGCCATGCCCATCCTGCCCTCCAGTCCTCCCACCACAAGCCCCAAAGAGAGCTGTCACCATGCCAAACCTGCGCACACGGGGACTTGGATGAAAGCAGACCCATCGCCGCAGCAATCCTGCACAGGCAGCTGCCATTCTCTGAAAATTCAGTCCAGGATTTTTCTCACTGGCATCTCAAACGGGAAATGACTGTGCTGATCCTCCATGCCAACAAGGGGCAAACACTTCTGCTTTGGGGTCTATCCCAGTATCAAACACCATATAAGCCTGTCATGTTCAGTAATTTCTAGCTGATGAGGAGTTAAATGCAGCAGAATCCAGGGGAAAAAAAATTACATGCAACAACCAGCTACTTAATAGCTGCTTCAACATGAAAAGTGCAACTGATTGGTGCCCTCAACCAGCCATGATACTCTAAAGAAAGAGAAATGAGGAGAGTCTCATGAAAACAGCTAAGAGAATTTACTTAATGCTCATTTTTTCCAAAACAGTTCCCACAGCTCAATATTACGCTGCAGGCTCCAGCCGGTGCAGGCCTAGTGCAAGGATGGTAATCCCCACCGCGCAGCAGAGGCCCAGTCTGTCTGTGGACAGCCCTGCTTAACATTTCAGCTGGACTTAACAAAAGGCCCAAGGCAGACAGATATGACTGCATACCTTGGCACCACTGATGGGACATACATGAACACACAGGTAACTGCAAGGGAAGCACATTATTTCTCTAAACATCTCCCAAGTTGCGATGTAATGCTGTAGCTGGTGAAAGCTCATCTTCTCTCTGGTCTAGACAGCAGTATGCAGAGGGATGGCAAAGCCCTCCACTTGGCATCCTGAAACAAAAAGCTCTGTCTTCCTCAGATACATGCAGCACACCCTTTGAACTACCTGGAATTCATCCCTTACCGTCTCAGCACAGAGATCTGCTTTCCCTTTCCTGGCCTATATAATCCTACCTCATGGGCAAATGTTCTGATCTCATCTCATAAATCAGTGTAGGTATGTTGCAGGAAGGGGAGGCCACAGGCACAGGCAGATAACAATTCAAACAGAAGTGATAACACATGCAAAGGACACTTCCCAAATTTATTCCCTCTTCAATATTAGTGAGGGGTTTATTTACAAGTCCCCTGCGGCTCAAGAGGGTCCTGCATGTAAGCACAAGAAAGCACGTATCTTGCTACTGCTGATCTCACGGGTCCAGAAGAACTTTCCCCGACTTCACAGGTTTTCAACCTAATCATCCACCCTGAGAGTGGTGAGAAAGGCAAGGCAGCCCTTGTGCAGGTCAGTCCCTTCCCCTCCACGTGTCCACTCCCTTGGCATGTGTCCTCAGCGGAATGGAGAGGGTTGGGCTGGGAGAAGTGCAGTGCAGGATGGTGGGGTTCATCAAATGCCCAGTGTGTGCCTGTGTGGGTGAGGAGGGTGGGAGTGTGATGCAGCAGCGTAGGGGAGTTTGTAACTCAGGATTGCAGGACACGGGCAGAGAGGGCTCCATGCAGGGAGGGGAGCTGGGACTGCTCCAGGGCAGTGGGACACTGCCAGGGTTTCTGGTGGCAGAAATGCTGAGCGGCACACGCTAATGCCAGCACAGTCCAGCAGTGTGCAGGGGGAGAGCAGGTCATGAAAGCAGGAACGAAATCCCCAATGCGTGTTTGTCAGCAGCGGAGGATGGCGCAGAAAGTAAAGCTTTGAATGTAGATGGAAGTGAAGGGGCACACGATGCTGCGGACTGAAATACCTCAGCCGACCTGCATGGGGAGCAGGCCTCGCGGAGCAAAACAACAAAGAGCAACAGCCCAGGCAGTTAGACATGAGCTCCCATTCACTCCTAAGACTGTAACCATGGTGGGAGCATGGCGGGCTGCTGTGCATTCAGCTCCAAGGCCTTTTCCCTGTACAAGCCATGCTTCAACTGCTCAAGGCGAGTTCCCACTGCTCTGGGGCTGGCAGGGAGAGCTGGCAGGTTCCCAGGCCTGGCTTGGGGCCCGCGCAGGCGATGCTGGTGCGGGGGAGGCATGGCTCTGCTTTCAAGCCCTCTCCGCTGGGGGTCCTGGCCAGCACCACTCTGCCTCCACCGCCCGGCACGCTCTCACGCTCACCTCGTACTCCTGGGAGAACTTCAGCCCATCGTTGGCTTTCAGCCTGTCGATGTTGTCGGCGAGGTCCGTCACGGGGATGGGGGGGTGGTCACGCATGCCTGCGAGCGAGACAAGGAGGGAGGAGGGAAGAGGAAAACGGTTACACCTCTGCGCGGCGGAGGAAGGCTCAACAACAGCATGTGCACAGCAAACCCAAAAGGTGGGTGCAAGGCGGACATGTGTGACTATGTGAAGCACTGGGCGGGATGGATGGGAAGTTGGCGAGATCACATGGCATGCTGCACGCACTCTCAGAGCACACGGTTTGGTGAAACAAAAAGAAAGGTGATGTGCAGAATGTGCATGACTGGGTTAGCATGCTTGGGCAGTACAGCCACCAGGCACACAGAGCAGGCCACGCAGCGGGCAGGGGCTCGGGCAAGCCCCCCGCAGGAACTGGCCGGAGGAGACGCTGTCAACGCACTTCCTGGGCTCCCACACGGGCTGAAGTTGAACACACTGATTCTCTGGCGCTCTCACCACCAAGGGCTGAGGCTGATCCTCTTGCTTAACCCTAACAATGGCATTAGCCAAAAAGAAACTCGTCCAGACCTGCACCAGGAGAAACATCTGCAGTGTATGTGCACAGCTTTTTGAGTAGACAGATGCTGCCCCAGCCTCTGGGGAGCTAGAGAAAGATGGGAGGAAAGATGGCCCCACGGAGGAACGGCTAATCCCCTGGTCAGAGATGACACAACTTTCCAAGAGCTGAGGAGCAGTCCTGCCTGCAGTTGCGCAACTCGGAGCTTTTCAATGGTGCTCCAGAGGCAGAGCCAGCTCCAGGGCCCAAAATCCAGCTCCACTGGGCTGGCTCATGCAAGGCACCATGTGCAGTGACATGCCCTACAGCAGCTTCCAGGAGGCTGCTGTGAGCTGGAATGCAGCTCAAGCCGTGGCAGAAGTCTTGCCCTGTCTAAAGCAGGGATGCACAGCATGGTTCGTCCTGGGCACAGCCCAAGCCCTGCTCAGGGGAGAGGCCTGGAGGAGAGAATGCCACAGGGGACGGGTACTCTGGGGGTGCACATGTGGGGTTGGGAGGAACCCTACTGGGGCCCTGGGATTCAGGGCTCACCCATCGCAACATCTTTCTCTGAAGCTGAGATGGTGAATTGTCAGGAACGTGGCTGTGAAACGTCTGATACAAAACCTGGCTCATCCAAATGCCAAGGCTCGTGACTCCATCGGCTGCTCTGCGGGTTTCCCAGAAACCCCACGTGGGCAATGACGATTATTAATAGGCTGAAGCTGTTGATTCACACCCAGGGAGACAGGCTGGAGCATGGCCAGGAGCTTCTCAATCGCTCAGGAGCCTGAACGCTGCCACAGATGGCAGTGATGGGCTGCTGAGGTGATGGAGCAGTCCTCAGGCTGGGTACATGCATTTTACACAGTGGTGACAAGTCACTAGGTGATAACATGGAAGTGTTAAACCGCAGCCGCTGCACAGCAGGGCTCCTCACACCTCTGCCGAAAGCATCTGACATCGCTGCATATAGGCAAGACCCGATCCAAGACACACTCATCCTTCTATCACTTGACAGTGCAGAGCTATCCATGGATGGCCTGAGAGCACATGGACAGATGGAGAAGGAAAGATCCCTCTTCCGCCTTGTGCTGAGGTCCTCCTGCAAATGGTCTTCTTTGCCACTTCACCCCTTGGGATCCCCGAGGTGGTTGAGCAGGCCCACCAAAGATGATGCTCTGATTTGTGCACAATTTGCTCATTGGTGCTAGAGCTATAGCTCAGGAGCAGTGCAGAGCTGTTACTGATGAACTATTGAATGAGGAGAGCAGTGTGCGACCAAGGCAGAAGTGTGGGGCTGGAAGAAGAAAGAGGCTGCAACACAGCCACTTATCCCAACATGGCTATGTATGAAGTAACGGCAGAGCCATGGACCACAGCAGAGCTGCAGTCACTCATCTCTGCTGAGAAATACAAGGGGGTCTCTCCAAGCTTCGGTTTTGCTGGCCAAAGGAGTTTTGCAGCAACAAAGGAGCTGCAAGAGCAGATGGGGAAAAAGAGGTGTTTGGTATCCCGCTATGGTGAACATAGAACGACTGCCACTGACAGCGTAGGGCAAGACAGAGATTTGTACACACTACCAGGACTTCTACATGCTCTTCCAATGACTCTGGCAAGCAGACAGTGAGCTTTACACCAGGGTAGAAGGGCTCAGAGGTCTGACAATGCCTGCAGTGCCACAGACTGCAAAGCCCTTGGCTCTGCTCCTGGGGGAAGCATCTACCCTATGTACTTCTCCCACTCCTGCATGCACATGCAGACGCCTTGTACATCAAGCAGCAGGGAGGACATGCTTTTATGGTTGTTTGAGAGTGAACTTGAAGCCCATAAGGCAAGACATAAAGGGGCAGTTGCACCCATAGTCCATCCAACCTGCCAGAGCATTAAGTCCCTCTGGTCCGTGCCTGGGACTCTGGTGCCAGCACTGCCAAGCAGACCAACTGCATGGCAGTTCAGAGAAGATCAGCATCCCTTGGCGCCCATTCTGCCTAAGTCTATGGCACAGGTGACCCAGCCTAGGGAAGCCAGTTTGCCTGAGGCAGGAGGAGAGTGTGTTCAACCACTGGGCTGCAGAGTGCCCTTCAATTTGTCTATTAGAGGTTTTTAGCTGGCTACCCCCTCCAGAATGGCCAAGGTTATCTGCCCCCGTGCAGGGCCAGCTGCAGGCCTGGTGCCATGGCAGAGCCTGGCATGTCACTGCGAGGGGGCAGGAGGCTTGGGAGCAGGCAAGGGGCTGCTGCAGGAGCCTCCTGGCAGCCCAGCATCCGGAGCCTTCCCTTCTGCACTGTGCTGCGGTGAGCTGCTGTAGTGCCGTGCAAACAGTACCCGAGCTTGGGACCACACATCATGTCAGAAAGTGAAATCACTGCCGTTCTACAGTCTGCTGTGAGTGAGGGTGACCTTCATGACATTGAAACAAAAATTACAGAGACAAGAGAAAAAGGGAAAGAAAAAGCAAAAGGTGTCAAAAGATAAATACAGGAGTTAAAACTAACTTGAGATATTCGGGCAACTGGGGACACTGGCACCTGCAAAGAAAAGAAACGGGGCAAGAACAGAAATCCCATTAGCCTTTAGTCATCATTGCAGAGGTTCAGAAATGGAAGGATAAAGAGATGAAGATGCAAAGGAAAACACCATCTGCCACAGCACCGGGAGCCTCCCTCCCGCACAAGACTGGCTGCCCTCCCAGGGGCTGCTCTGCAGCCAGCCGCTACACACCGGACTTTTGGCTCTGGCCAGCACCATCCCCTGGTGCTGACAAACATGTGGAGCTGGAGATACTTGGAGGGGAGTGAGCACACAGGTTTTCCACCTGACACCAAGAGCTACACTTCTCACTGCACACCACTGTCCATGGCCCTGTTCCCAAGGGGAGCCAGCAAGAGCAGGTGGATGGCAGGTACAGGGGACATCTGTGCTGCTCGGTGGCCAGGAGGACTGTACTCAGCCCCAGCCAAACTCTGCTCAGTGCCCCTAAGCCTCCAGCTCGCTCACAGCTCATCAGCAAGCGCAACTCAGCCTCATTTCATGGTGTACGGGGACACTGCCTGGTCCCATATCCTCTCAGCGACTTGACACAGTGGTATGTTAGTACGGGGAGGCCGACAGTGGGGAAATAACCCTTGTCTGAAGTAAAACCCACCAAAATGAGAAAGCTTAATATTTAATAACAGTAGACCAATTAATTATGCATTAAACAAGTTTTCCCTGCTCAGCACACTCCAGCAGGGAGACCAGCTACTGAAGCATGAAGGGCCAGTGGCCAGCACCTCTTGTCAATGCATCCACGCAGCACCACCTCGACCTCAGGGGGGTGACAGGGGCAACTGCATGAGCCCACTGGGCTCGGTGGTTTTCATGCCTCCTCATTAATGAGGACAAGCTCATCAGGAGCTGGAACAGTCACTTCTAGCTGCATGACACGCGCTTCTGCCCTGCAGAGCCTCACAAGTGATGCTGGGGGGAAGGAGGGGAGGAGGACACAGTGCTGTCGCTTAGTGGGGGAGCGCTGGCTAGCAGCATCCCAGGGCACTGCTGCTGTCTCTAGTGAACTGGGCACTTTGGGGTGTTTTTATCTCTCCAGAGAGCTCTGCAAACTTGCTGAATGAGCCAGCACAGGCTCATCCTCAGGCACAGACGAGAAAAGAAAATTTCGTGGATCCCTCTTCTCTCTGATGGCAGCTCTTGACCCTTCCTACAGCTCTAGCAAGAGATGCCCTCATTGCAAACATTCTGATCGCTTTTTGGAGATGGGAGTAAATGCAAGCCTGACCTGTCACACTCCTCCATCCAATGTAAAGCACAAGCATACAGCAAAGATGGCTCTTGTGTCCCTGGGCAGTGGAGACATGTCAGAGAGGCCCGTCCCGATGCACAGGTGTCCTGGAGCAGCCCTGTTCAGCACCTTGCTCCTCCTCAAGAAGCTGTATGCTGTTGCTGACTGTGTGTGACCCCCTCACCTAGCGCTGCTCCCAGCAAGCTGCCTGTTAAGGTGTTCTTCCTCCAGTGCAGGTGCCTCCCTTGCTCCCGACAGCATTTTCCTCCCGTGCTGCAACACCATGCTGGTCTGCATTGTGGCAAATAAATGGGCCAGGTCTGCAGGCAGCTGCCAGGCTGTGGCTGCATTCTGCCTGTGAGATCTGCCATCAGTCCTGCCTGGGAGATGCACTAACTGCAGATCTGTGACAGCTGCTCTGGCATGGAGGGAGATGTGCTGGTGAAGTCCACGCCAGGTCTGAACCAGACTGCTGTGAGCAGCAACAGGAAAGGCTTCTCTTACTCCCCCCAAACACAGCAGGTTTACATCAGGAAATGGTCCCTTCAAAACTGCCCTGTTAGATGAAAGCTCTTAGATGAATGAGCAGCAGGAGGAAAAGGAAAGTAGGTTACAGACCAGGAGGAGCTGCAAGTTAGAAGAGAGTTGTATGTGCCTCATTTATTGCTGAACTGCTCTCTCCATCACAAAAGCCCAAGTGCTCCCCCACTTCATCTGGGACTTGGGCTCTCTGAAAGGCTCTGAACGAGTCGGGGTGAGCCTGTCTCTCATCATCACAATGACAGGTACTCTGCTTTTGGTGCCATCAGAGATGTACAGACACAAAGCAGCAGCACGAGACCTTTCTAGAGCGCAAAGTACAGTTGCCTTTGCGGGCTGGCAAACTAGCTACACCCGACGCACCAGAGGCCAGTACAGGCGTGATGAGATGCTCTGCAGCCAACAGTTGCATGCAGAAAGCAACGGCTGTTGCTGAACTATCATCCTCTGCACTGAGACCACCGTGACCAGCAGTGCCCTTCACTGGGCCGCAGCACTGACTGGGGAGCAACACAGGCTGCTTCTCTTCACTCTTAGCTGAGCAGAGCAGGAGAGTCAGCACACCAAAGATCCCAAGACAAAGCTGCTGGGACAGCAGTACAAGGGCTGTCTGTACCTCCTGATCCTCCCAGGAGCAGCCCCTGTGGCCAGCGCTGCACCAGGGGTGCTCAGCACTGAATCCCACCCTCAACCAAGCCAGTGAAGCAGCTGGGAGCAAGGCAGGTGCGGGCACTCGTGAGCTCTCCCAACGCTGCGCGCAGGCTCCTCCGGGCTCAGGACAACTTCGTGTAATGTCTGACACACACCACACCACAGGCCATTCCCCAGCCTCACGTGCCTGCAGTGACAGCACCAGGGAGAAGGATTTGCAAACCAGAGAGCAGACACCCGGATATCCTTGGTCTAAGCCCCCTCTGTGCCATTGCGACTTAGAAGGTGCAGAGCTTCTGGGGGGGGAGGACAGCAACTCCTCCTCTGGCATGGGGACCTGGCAAAGGGGAACTGGAGGAGGTGGGGCACAAGGGGGTTAGCTGCTCCTTACCTGGAGTCTGGTAGTTGAGCCGCCTCATCTCAACCGGGTCAGAGGAGTGGGCCAAAAGCGAGTCCTTCAGGCCGATGGAGTGCTCATCCTTCGAAGAGGGGGAGTGTGCCCTTTTCCTATGGACAGAGACAAGCACCTGAGCTCTGGCAGAGACCGGTGTAAACCATCCTGGGTCCTTGTGTCCCCACTACCCAGCTCCATCCCAGGTTCCCCGGGGCTCTGG